GTTAGATAGAGACAAGAGGCCCTGTCAGGCAATTTAACCCTCCTAGGTACAGGATAAACTGCCTGCATCATAGAATCATAGAATAGTTAGGGTTGGAAAGGATCTTAAGATCATCTAGTTCCAACCCCTCTGCCGTGGGCTTCTGCCCTCAGGTGGCTTTGCACAGTTGACACTGGTAACTGCTGTGTTCTTTCCTTTTCTTTTTTAGTGCCTCGTTATACCTGCTCAAAGTGTTGAAAGGAAACACACCTGATAAGTCATCAGCTACCCCTCTGCCAGAGAAACAGAACAGCACCATCCCACAGGCTTCTCAGGTCAGACTGCAGCTGCTCTTGGGGCAGTGGGGTTTACCAGTAAAGTTGCATTATCCCATTTCACTGAGTGGACTTTGCTTGCTCTGTCTCCTGTTCTGTGGCCTGCAGATGCCTGTCTACATGATTTGTTTTTCATGAAGCTGTTAAATTCCCCATCCCCTTCTGGCCCATCCCCTCCTGTCTTTGCAGTGCCTGCTTGCCACAGCCACCAGGGGCTGCTGGTGTACAGTGGTTAACTGGAGAAGCCCGATGTATAGTTAAGCTGCTCTACTGGCTGATTTGCTATTTCATATTAATCTCCTGGCACTCAGAGTTCTTTTCTGGGAGGATGCTGAGGAGCAGGGAGGTACAGGACAGTGGTGGATGAGAGTGAGGTTTGGGCTGAGTTGTCTCAGGGTGAAGCAAATGTGGAGCAGCCCTCATTTCAGTGATGGTTGTTTGCAGGGAGACTTTCCATCTGGTTGTTCTTTAGGTGTCTATTGTGGAGCTTTCCTCTAGGTCCTCTTTCACCTGCTGTGTCTGCTGAATTCCACGGATGTCTGAATGTGGTGACCCTATGTATTGGGCAGCTTAGTCCGGTTAACTCCACTAGAAATTTAGCAAGTAGTGTTTCACCAGCCAGCTGATACTTGTCTCTGAACCTCTCAAATTGTGTTCAGGAATTAGTGCCTTAATCCTGTTGACATTTTGTGGGGGAGGAAAATAAACAGGGCCACCTCATGTCAAGGGAGGGCCTGGAAATTACAAGCACAGAGCTATTATTAGCAGCTGAAAAGACAGCCAGTGTTTCTAAGGCTTAGTGAGAGACTGAGAGTGTTAATCCAAGCGGCTTTTATTCTGTGCTGGGCCTTTCTGGAAAGAAAAGCAAAGTGGGAGATCTGTGGGAATTATAAACAACATACTTGATGTTGAGGCGAGAGTGAGACATGCTTCATAGCATCCTTGTGCAGCTTCCAGGGAAGGCTATTGCTCCTGTGGGAATAGAGCTGTGGTCTTGACCAGCCAAGGGCACAGCCAGCAGCCAAAGCGAGTTGTTGGTTTGGGGGAAGTGACATGGTTCAGTTTGTATGATGCTGCTGGTGCTGACTTGGTGTTGAGGCCAGGAAGCTTTTGCAGTGGGGAACCAGAGACAAGGGTGTCATGTGTTTCCAGTGGGTAGTGCTTTGTGAGCATAATCTGGAGCTTTTCAGTAGCAGGAGAGTAGAACTAGAGCAGACCCTATGATGCAGTGGCTAAGTGTGTGACTACAGAAGATTTTTACAATAAACATCTGCATGGGAGGAGGAATCGTTTTTCGTCCCCTGCAGATGTGTGTGTCAAATAAATGCAAAGCACAGACACTTGGCTGGGAAACTGAGGACAGATATTTCAGGATCCATTTCCTCTGTCCACTCTAGCCTGTGTTCAGCTGCAGTAGGCCTGGGAATTTGACTTGAGAATGGGACACAACACTAACATGGGTTTAACTTGCTATGGGGCCATGGAAAAATTGCTTGGGCAGAGGTTAGGAAAAGGTCCATCCACTATTGTGAAGATTACAGCTTTGACTCCCAAAATTCAATGCTTCCCTGCTAAGAGGAGAACAGTAAGGAATGTTGGGATGCTGTGCTCCATGCCTCCCTCTCCATTCATCCTTGTGTTGTTTACATCCATAGTGTCTGTGCAGGTCTTGGCTGGGTGCTGTATGTCTGGTTCCTTGTTCCCCACCAGGGGGGGATACTGGAGCATTTACAGTGTTCTAGGCTAGCTGGATCCCTCATCAGAGCTAGGGCTCGTCTGCTGGGTACCCAGAAAACCTGGCCATAGCTGTTAAGTGTGTGTAGATCTGGGTATCTATATACACTGGTATCTGAAGATTCTGATAACTCTGTATAGCTGGCAATGCCATGTGCACAGCACAGCTGCTGTGGGGTAGGCTTTGAGTGCTCTGTAAACCTTCTGTGTTAGACTTGCCCCCCCCAAACTTAGAAGTACAGCCCCCACACTACATGCAGTGTTTGTAGGCTTACTAGAAAGCTGTGCTGCCCTTCACTAACGTGGTCATGTGGCCATCAGTACTTGGGTGAACATGTTTGGGGCCCATTTTGTTGCTTCTTTCTGGTTCTAAATGTTGTATCCCATGGGCCTGTATCATGTAAACTACCCAAGAACATGTGGTTATTGGAAAAACCTGTGTGCATTGATAGAAATGAATTTTTTTCATTGTTAGTGATTCATCCTTGTGTTTCACTGGAAATGTTTCTTGTTCTGCTTTTTCCCCTATAGCTTTTAAGCACAGGTTGTTTGGATATGGAGAGAGTGACTGCAGTTTATCAGCAAGCACTAACACAATTCCTGACTAAACGGAACAGTGCCCTTACAAGCTCCATGTTCCATGATCTCTTCACACGCTTCCCGGTGAGTGTTGCTGACTGCATGGTATGTTCCGCTGGCTCCCAAGTCTAGTTGTAACTCATGGGGAAGTAGGGAGAGAAACTTGCCTGCTTTATTTGTGGGCTTTTAAAACTGCTGTCAGGTTTCCTAGATCTTCCCCTGCTGTTAGTACTGTATGTTTTGATAGCAACATTGCAGAAGACCAGGATCTCATGTATGGTTTGGGCTGGAATACTGCGTGGAGAACGTAGATGAACGGAGGTCTGCTCTTTAAATACAGCCTGAGAAGCTTTGATTTTTCTTTTTCTACCAGCATTCAGGACAGTGGGATGAGCAAGGTTTACATGAGGCTGGACACACTATTGCTGATCCAAGCCAAGATTCTCTCAGCCTTCTTGGTCACCTGGGCACAAGATGGCTTATTTTCAGCCAGCTGTTGACCACCCTCCCCAGGTCCTTTTCTGCCAGGCAGCTTTCGAGCCTCTCTTCTCCAAGCCTGTGGTGATCCATGGGGTTGTTGTGATAAACAGATGAACACTTGTTGTCATCTGCAAACTTACTGAGGGTGCACTTGATCCCCTCTTCCACATCATTGCATCTCCTTTATAAAACAAAGGTAACAGTATACACAAACCCTGGCCCGTTTAAAGCTAGGGTTTGCCCACTTGCTAGAGCTTTCTGTTCTTTTAGTAGGCTTTCCTCTGCCCTCCCCAAAGAAACTATTTCACGTGGTGTGGTTGGAATAACCATCTGCACAAGATATCAGTGAACTGTTCAGCAAACTTCTGTCCCTGCCTTGTCAGAGCCAGCCCTTCCAATGCCTGTTAGGTGGTATTAGTGGTATTCCAGTAAGGTATTTACAGTCCAGATGCTTTCTCATTTCTTGTGCCCCTGAATTTGGGAGTATTTTGTCTGTAAGTGTAGAAATTTGGTGGATTAGACCAGAACAGAGGTTCATCAAGCTTTGTTGACAATTATTACTCCTCTAGAAAGGTTGGTTTGATCAAGAGTTGCAGCAGGGCACAAGTTTAAAGTGACTGGAGGTCTGCAGGGAGGCCTTCCTCCTGTCTGCTGTTTCTGGCCCTGTTAGCAGGTGGGTTCAGATCTTTCTCCAGGCTCTGATGTTCTGCAGTCTAACTCAGCATATTCTCCTTTGCCCCCGAGACTGTTCCTCTGTGCAAAGTGAGCTGCCTGTGTACAGGAAAATGCAGTCTTGAATCCAGAATCAGGCAGAACACAGGAGGTGAAATCTTTGCCTGATAGTTCTGAGTTAAGAGTTTTGCTGCTGATTTTGTTGTGTTCAGGATTTCACTCGGGGCTGGTGTGAGCAAAGCTGTTAATTTTCAAATAAGCTGTTGCTGATCTCTGGGCACTTTCGTTTCTTGTGGCATTTAATTCTCACTCAGGAAGCTGTGTAAAATACAGGCTGTTTTGCTTGAACACCAAACCTGTCCGCCAGCAAACCACTAATAAGAGATTGGGTCTTTCGTTACAGATCATGTGTAAGCCATTAGTAGATACTCTTGTCAAGTCTATCACAGCGGGAGCCAGGCAACATCAGCAGGTAAGAAGGAACGCAAACAAACAAAGCTGTATTAAACAGTCAATTGGAGAAGTCAATCACAGCAGCTCAGGTGATGCTTAATATGCTTAATGCTGCCTTTAGGGCTGCCCAATTTTGAGAAGTGGGCTTCCTAGGGGGAGAGCTTTTGCAAATACTGTCTTACTGCTTCAGGTGTGTGGCTGAAGTTGTGGAAATAGGTTATAGATGTGCAGTCGCAGGGGTTCTTTGGTAGCACCTCCTTTAAAACCTGCCTGCAGCTTTCAGGGTTGAGGCCTGATTGATAGGAGGTTTGCCTTCAGTTACTTATTCTTTGATTACTTTCTTATTGGTAGGATGTTCCCCTGTATTAATGTAGTGTGTCATGCTCCTTGCCTCCTAATGCTAACTGAGGGTTAGCTTCTGGAATCTGTTCTGCTCCTTGCAAGCTGTCCTGCACTTTCTAGGGCATGTGCTTCTGTGTCTGGTTTAAAACACCTGTACTATAGATCCGATTTGTGATGGTTGAGTGCATGTGCCTGACTAACACAGAGTTAGTGGAGCCTTATCAATAAAACATTGCAGGGTGAGTGCACAGCTCACTGTTGCATGAGCAGGGAATGAGGCCTGTCTGGGTTTTCACTGCAGTGGGGGAACCTTCCACGCAGTTAATAACCAAAAGCCCTCTGGGCCAGTAGCACTGTGCTCAGACTTTCCCACCCCCCAGCTGTAACATGCATCTATCCCCTGCAGAAATGCATCCTAGGTTGACCTTTCAGTTTCATAAATAGCTGGTTTATTGTTTCTGAGCATTGGAGGGAATGTGAAGGGTTAGGTGTGTGTTTGCTGTAGGGCTGCTTTATACTGTCAGTGTAAATTGCATTTCAGGGTCGTTTACCCAACAGGAATGGCTCTGATTTAGAGAAAAGAGTGAATTAAGCTATTTTTATGTTCAGTGGCTAGAAATAAGGATGCATTACAGAAATAACAAACAAATTAATTTTAAAGCACATACTTGAACCTATCCTCAAGAGACCAGAGCAGCATCCCAAGCAGGCAGCTTCATTATGTGGCTGTCTTTGCTTCCCCACAGGGAATAGCATTGTCCTTCTTTCAGGGCTTCCAGTTATCTCTTCAAGCTTTGTTTCCAGAGTGTGCTTATCTGTGGATGGGAAGAGTAGGGGAGGATGTGCAGTGTACTGTGTGTGGGAGACTGGGTAGAGAACATGGATATATGCTGCTATACAGACAAAGGCAGCATGGCACAATAAGCTGTGTAAAGCCTGTGGAGTTCGGGTTTGCAGCTTTGTATGTTTTGCACACTGCTTTCTTCTCAGGAATTCTGTCTTCACCTCATCAAATATCCAATTTTGCAGGTTTTCAGTTAAATATTCCCACTGGTTTTCAATGCAAATGTGCTTTGGTGGTATCTTAGAGGGTAGAGGCAAACTTGGTGGGTGTATGTGGCAAAGTCATATTTTGTATGAAGTAGGGGGATAACTTCTCTGGAGTCTCTGCAGCTCCTGGCAGCCTCTGGGGGAGTCAGGTGGAGAGGCTGGGCCACGAAAAGGGCTGTCCTAATTCAGAATCCTGAAGGCACCACGGTCTGATACCTTCCCTTTGGCCAGCCCCTATAGTTAAGAGGCAAGTGGGGTAGTCTCCCATTTTCAGCTCTGAATAGTGGCTTCTAATCATTAAACTAGCTTAATCCCAGAGACATGAGGCTTAATTCCCCTTCTAACACTCCTGTTATTAATGCTGATTGTTTTGGCTGTGCCTCCTGTGTTGATGTGAGCAGCTAATCCCACTGTGATTTTTGACTTCTTGGCTCTGCTGATCCCTTTGGCAGGGAGTCCCCAGGGCCATGCTCTGCATGGGAAGGTGGAGGCTCACAGCTCTGGCCACATGTCTTGTGTTGGCCTGGTAATGAGCCCTGGAGCTCTGGCCCACCAATGCTGGTGGCCACTATCCCAACTGGCCTGGATGAGGCCCTTTCCATGGAGGCAGGAGAAGCAGATTCGCCTTCAGGTTGGGCTTTTAGTCAGTTTTGAACTAAAGGAAAAGTGGTTCATGAGGAGAATGTAAGGGGGGAGGGTATTCCCTCCTTACCTTAATACCTGGGTGTTTGTGAGAGTAGCTTGGAGGGGTCTGCTCCAACTTTCAGCCAACTGGTCCCTGCCATACATGTCCAGCTCTTACTGCTCTTGCTGGGGTCTCTAGTGTAAAGTCAGCCTTGATCTCTAAGTGATTGCACTGAACTAGCCTGTTGAGGTGATTCGTTTCCCTGTGTGCTCTGTAAGCCATGGCATGTAGAGCAAGACCTGCACCTGCCTGGGCTCTTGTCAGGAAGCAGCAAACCTCAACTGTATGTGAGATGTTCCTGTGCCTTGTGTTGTGAACTACTGCAGGTCTGCTGAACTTAATTTCTGGGCAGTTGTAACTGAGAGAGCATCCTCAAGGAAGTGCAGGAGCTGTTCAAATGCTGCTCAGCTGGCTTGGGGAGGAGCAGTCTGGCCTTTCCAACCCCAGCCCTTTGTCCTGATCCTGGGGACCTCACTGTCTGTCTGGTGCCCAAGTGTCCGTGCAGTTATGTCAGAAAATGGGCATGAGGATGGTTTGCCTGAAAAGTTGCCCTCCCCTTGCGCACATTCATCTTTCCCTACCTTTCTCCCTTTTGCTGTGCTACAACAATGAATTTTGATGAATTCATTGGTCTTGTTCATGGCACAGAAACAGTTCAGGGGCAGGGGTGGCTGGGTGAAAGCTCAGATTTATCTCACCATATGGCAGTGCTCATTTAACATGAAATTATGGCTCCTGTGAAGTGAGTACGAGAATGCTGGAAAGCAGTTTGTCAGTGTGGAGTGTTGGCTGTGGCTGATGACTTGGACAACTGGGTCTTGCAAATGCTGCAGCCTTTCTGTACCTCCTGTTTCAGTCACCTCTGAAGCCCAGAGATCATTTGACCCTCAGCAGCAGTGTTGCATCTGTAAAGACAAAGGTGTTTGTGGTCATGGAATGGGTGTTGCATGCCTTTCTGTTAGGTGCATTTCTTTTGGCCTTTGTGATTGCTGTCGAGAGAGGTCTTCTGGAGATACCCAAAGGCAGGTGTAGCAGAGGGTGTCTCTTGATTTAAAGCTTAGTAGAAAAGAAGGAAGCATTAGTACAAAACTTTAGGTAGTGTGACAGACGTCACGTCAGCCCTGTTTCTCTGACACTGTTCCTACATGTCTAAAGCAGTGGTAGGTTTGTTCACCTCCATATTGAAGTCATCTGTGAGATAAAACGAGCAGCACATTGAGGGGTGAAAGTTCTTAAGGCAGTTTTAAACCTGGCTCACAGTGGTTGGGTTGGTAGCAGTAAGCTCAACCTGTATAACAAGTTTTAGACTGGAAAGGTGAATTTGCAATGGTCTTATTGAGACTGAACTTGAAACTGAAGCTTGTACATGAGGCCAAGTTCTGTTCCTGTGGTGTTACTCCTGGAGTGTGGATGCCTGCAGGAAACAGTAATGCAGGAGTTTCCCTGGAAGAGGAAAGAGCTGGAGAGGTTGATGTCATTTGTGAGAAAGAACAAAGGGCAAGGGATGCTTGACCAGGGAAGGGGGTTGTCATCCCGCCCACTTAGTGCCTTTTTAAACATATACATCAGAAAGATGCAAATGAAGATCTGTGTGACAATGGGTCTGCAAAATCACCTTGTTTCAGGCAGCTCATGCATCTGAGCTGGACTTCTCCCCTTTGGTGAGACCACACTGATTGCAGGACACTGAATCATCTGCTGCCAGTTCAAATGCACTGTGACTCTGGCAGCGGGTGCTTTGGATGCTCAGCGTTACCTGTTGGCTGGCCTATTTTTCACACTCTACATTGTAGTGTGGAGCTAAAGACAACTGCTGTCCCAGTGGTGCCTGTGTGCAAGTCAAAATGCTTCAGGCTTGGAAAGAATGAAAACACTGATGCTTGAATGTCTTTTATTGAACTGAGAAGTCTGGTGGGTTTTGCTGTGGTGTTTGTTTTGTTTTTTCTTTTTGTTACTACAGTAGCAGTTGGGATCTGTTTCCTAAACTCCTGTTGCTCCTTGCTTTCCCATGTGTCTGAGTTAAACCAATTTACAACTTGAAGCTGCACTGCGTTCTCAGAATTTGGCGTGCCTCGTGTGTGTGGTGTGTTGCACTGTTGTCCACTGTAGAAAGAAGTGAATAGTAACGGTATGAAATGACTAGATTGTAAGCAGCCACTGTGAAGCTTCTCAGGAGGACTTTTAGTGTGTGAGAAGTGCTACAAGTTACAGTAAAAGAAAGAAGGTGGTACAGAATGAATTTTTGGGGTAGTCTAATCCAGCTTAATGGATGCAGTTACAGTAACTATGACCTTGTAGGTGCTGTATCGGCCAGCAGGAGTATCAACAGTGGTAGGAAAATGGGAGCAGTGCGCGCATCACAATCTCTTTGTACATCCAGGTGGATTTGATAGCTTTCCCTTACCAACAAGGTGCTTACACCTGAGTAAAGTGTAGGTAACATTTCTAGACTTCAGTACCTACATGCATACCAGCATACGTATGTGTGCTCTAAGTAGCTTAGGTACAAATGACAGGTAGGGATATAGTCTTCAGTGGTAAGACTGGTATGGGAAAATGACAAGTCATCAAAAAATGGAGCTTGTGTTACACATTTGAGCTGACCTGGTGCTGATGAACTGTGTTAAGCTTCTGGCACAGATGATCCCGTTGGCAGTGCACAGCCTTGCAGTTAGCCAAGCAGAATGTGTGTGGTGCTAATGGGGAGGGAGGCTTGTGCTGGTTTGTTGACTAAGGACGTTGCTGTCGGTCTGATGTCTTCCACAAGCACTAAACACATTCTCTTAAATTCTCTTTAGAGAAAAAAGATGGTGTGAGCTTGTTCTTGCTTCCTCCTTTTTTAATGCAGTTTGATCTTACTACTGCAGGTGTTTTCTAGGAGACTTTGACCTTCAGATTACTTCCTTGTGCCTTGTTTCAGTGGGTGCAGCGTTGCTTTTTCAATATGCAGAAAAGGTTTGGGTTTTTGGCTTGTGCTGATGGAGTGTAAACCAGGGATCAAGGTGTGTTTACTTTAATGATTGTTGCATGACTCAGCCACATACCAGAACCCTCCTGAGCCTCAGGTGAGGAATGTCTTCCTGGTTTATTTTTAGCAGCATCAGTATGATGAGCATAGCTACAGTAACATCTAGTTCTGTGATTGTGTAGTCTTGGGCTGTGTCTCCGATGCTGTTACAGCACAAACCTGTTGGTGGTGTGTTGTTAATTGTGGTGAGGTTCTTATGGCGTTTCCAGCCCTTCTCCCCCATTTTCATAGATGCTGGGTCTGCCAGAGGACTGGCTGAGTCTGTGAACTAATGCTTCTACCCTAATTTCTACCTTAAAGCCTTACTCTGTTAGTCTGAGGATCAGGTGAAGAAGGAGAATGTGTGGCTGTTTGCACTGCAGTACCCAGGCTTACTGCTGATGCAGGCTTCTGCAGGCATGTCCATATTCTAAGTGCCAGCTCTGGACTGGAAACAGGCTGGATCGTGGCCTTTCTGGAAGCCTGGAGTGGAACAACCAGGCTTTCCCCTGAGAATTGGACCTTGTTGAGCAGCAGTACTGAAAACAGCTTGGAAAGGAAGACTAGCAAATGAAACATCCACTGCTACCAGGAGTGAAGCGTTGTCCCCATCTCGCTTGTATTGGCAGGCAGACCACTTATAGTCTGTAACTTTTTCCTAGGGTTTCCACAAACGATTTGATACCTGTCTCTTGTCCTTCTCCTCAGGGAAATGCACTAGGAGTGTACGTTTCAGTGCAATTGCTGAGAGCCTTTGCAATTACTTTTGCACTGTGGTCAGTTTGAATACATTTACATGTAAAACTGCATTGATTGAGGATGTTGCAGTAGCTGGGAGCATAATGGTGCTATATTTGTCCATCAAGTGAGTTTATCTTCTGTGATTTGGCTAGAACTCTGCAAAGCTGATGTAAGTGCAGAGCTGTCATGAAACTCATAAAAGTCATTTTACTGAGTGTGGAGATGAGAATGGGCACTGAGACAGTTCAAAATGTCATCTTCTGTCACTTAGATTCATTAATATTTCAAAATGTGTTTTTATAAAGCAGTCTGTGACAAGGAACCCTTTAAGATGTATCTACTAGAGGGTGTATTTTAGGTAAGTTGCTAATTAATCTTGGTGCTTTGGCAGTCTCCCCAAGGGGATCAAACATATATAGACATCATTTTACAGAACTGAAGCAGTTCTGTGCCAGAGCTGCCATCACCAGAAGAGTAAGATTTCATCCCAAAGTCCTGCCAAAGAGGTCTTGGCTGTTTGACAGTTATCTTTCTGAACTGTTTATGTTCTGTGTAAATAACTAAGTTAAAAAGTAATTAAAGTTTAGTACAGCAATAATAATAAAAGCACTGCAATGTGTCAGAAGCCAGCACCCCTCTTTGTGTACGTTGGGCAGTTCCTCGTGCTGGGTAGATGAATGGATCATTGCATTAATGCACAATGCCTTGCCTGCATTCTCACAGGTGGTTTCCAGCAGGTGGTGTAGGAATATTGTTATGGAATATTTTGTGTAAGCAAAATTACTAATAATGAAGCAAAATAAACCTCCCCAGATAAGTATCAGCACCAGTTCAGTTCTTCCCTCTTTGCATCAGCAATGAGACTTGGGCTGCTGGTGCTAGCAAGGCAATAGGCCATGTCTGAAAGGTACCATTCCTCAAAGCATCTTCCATCCTTTTGGCAGAGGTAGGGCACACTGCTCCTGTGTCGCCCATAAAGGTGTCACTAGGAGGAAGGCTTGTCCCAGGGTCTGGTTGAGACAGGCAGATCTTCAGAGGGTGTTACTCACCAGCAGTGACAGCTTCATGTGCAGTATGGTCTTACAGTGGCTCTTACCTTTAAGCTTTGTCCTTTTTGTCTTCTGTTCATTATGCATTCTCTGTTCAATGAAGAGAATCCAATTGCAGCTGGAAAATGTTATGTCAGAGTGACATGCTTTGGCTCCAGTCAGTGTCCTGCTCCTGTTCCTGTTTTTGTTTTGTGTAAGGAGATGGTCAAGGAGACCCTGTGTTTTGCAAGGTAAAGCTGATCTGTGGGTGGGCTCTTGGGACATTTTTGTGCTATTTCATCGTAAGCTAGCAAAGCCCTGTGACATGAACTAGCTCTAGGTATGTAAACTGTCCCTCTGAAGTCGAAGAGGAAGCAGTTGAATGCTTAAGTGTTTTGCTGGGTCAAGGCCAGAGTGCTCTACGTTTTTGTGTACAGATTTTGAATTCATAGACCTTGAGGATGGTTGTGAATGTGGATTATTGCATCCCAACCTCTCATTTTTGAGAGTGTCTCTTGCACTGGGATAGCTCAAAGAAATTCTTCTCTGGAGAGCTGGGGGACATTGACAGGATCTATAAATGATGTTTTTTGGAAGGGTGTCCGATGCCATAGCAAAACATCATGCTGTCTGATGAACTGCTTTATAAACCATGTTTCTCTCTCCCTTTCCTCTCACTGTTGACAGTTGAAAAAGATCAGTTTAAATT